AAATCAATTTTGTACTCTCCAATTGGTTATTTTTTCGAATTGACCGACGAAATTGGCGATGATTGGCTAACTTTTGATTTCCTGATTAAATTACTCATCCCCCACCCGCCCCTTCACCATCAGCATCCCTCTTTACTTTTGCCAAGCCCTTCATCTCAAACCGGGGAGCCATTGGAGTTGTTCGGAAAAAGCATTCCTTCCTTCAACGGATGCCATTTTCGTGTTACCGAACTTTACCACTTAACAAAGTGCACGCTTCTAAACTTTCTACCTAAGTTTTTATATGAATTAGGAAACTATCTTTCTCTCTCTCTCTCTCTCTTACCCTATTGTTTTTTTGGGCTACGAAATGGTACTGACAAAGGTCGGTACTTTGAAATACACACAAACGCGCAAAGAAATCGAATCAAATTGTTATTTTTCTTCCCAAAAAAAATAAAAAAAAAATAAAAAAAAAACAAAAAAAGGTTTCGGGTTCGCTCGAATTCGCCAAAGCTGTGACCCACCACCTCGAAAGAAGAAAAAGAAAAAGAAGAAGAACAAGAACAACAACAAAAAGTCTGGTCACGCATTGGAGGTTATTCGCGAACGTGACGCGTTGTTCGTGACGTAAGCGAACAGTCTTCTTTGAAAATAAAAAAAAAATCAAATTCTACTATGAGAGAAAAAGAGAGAGAGAGAGAGAGAGGAAGAGAATTTGAGTTTATATTCTACGAGAGCAATTAAATGAAATTGAAGATCGTAACAATTGCATGCAGGAACGGAATTACACTCACTCACATGAGTTGAAAATCGTTTGACCAACCAACACACGAACACACACATACATACACGAATATCCTATCAAAGCTATTTGCAAGCAAGCAAGTAACCAAGTAAGGATGGTAGGATGGTAGGAAGGAAGGAAGGAAGGAAGGAAGGAAAAGTGAAGAGAGGGAAATAGTTAGTCGGATAGATGAATAGATGATAGTGCGATCTCTCGTTTGATAACGTAACGAGATTAACGTGAATGCTTTCCAACCTAAGGTTGAATACTTAATATATATATATATATGTGTGTATGTGTGTGTGTGTACACATATACTACGTTAGTACACAAGGATCTTCCAAACCGAAGGGTACCGACTTCACTTTACTATATACAACCATTATACACCATTAAGGTACTTAGTTTTCAATCGATCGATGTCGATATCGCGACTGTTAATTGCCTCGTTAAGTGCGATTAACGCGCTCGATTCGAGTAATTACTTCCTCTCTCTCTCTCTCTTTCTCTCTTTCTCTTTCTGTCTCCCTCTGGTACTAACTCTCTCTCTCTCTCTCTCTCTGTCTCTCGTCCACTCTTGATGCGGTATTAATGTTTCAATATTTTCAACCGTTAACTTCATATTCCTCCAAAGCTTCGACGACACTCGATTATTTTGTCAAAGTAGGTACCTGTACTTTTTCATTTTAAATAAACGACATTAATTGTAATTAAAGTATTTTCTTTTGTTACTAAACAAAACGAGGTAAATTAAAATAATAAAACACTTTGTATTTGTTGATCTTTCTATTTGAAAATTGCCTTAAGAATTGAGGGAAATTAATGAAAATTGTTTTAACGATGAATTTATACCGTTATCCGATAAATAGTTGAAATTATTGGAAATTTTAATTATGGACGAGTCAAAGATCTTTCTTTAATTTTATTTAAAGAAATAATTAGAAATTTTGAATCAAAATGGTCGACCAGTCAAAATGACTAGTCTGGTATATCTAATGTTAAAGAAACTAATTTTATTGTACAAATTATAAATAAAATAATTTTTGATTTATTAATATATTAAAAAATATGTGAAAACTAGTTTTACTGTGGTGAAAAGAGAGAGAGAGAGAGTGAGAGAGAGGGAGAGAGAGATAGAGTGAGAGAAAGTTGGAGGGGAAAGAAGAGAAGATAATACCGAAGCATGTGCTTGCATTATCCATTGTAATCACGTTTCGCGTTCTCCAAGCACGAATTTGATGGCGAAGTAGATAGAAACGGCCTGCTATTGGATAGATGAACAAACGACGAGTGTTCGCGAGTTATTTCAAGCAGATAAGAGGCCGCGTGCGCACGGCGTATGCTTACAAGGTGTCTTCACTGATAAATTTCCTCTTCGAGATAAATGTTCAACCCTTCTTCCATTTTCCTAGTTTCTCTTAAACACTTTTTTTCGCATTAATCCGCATATCTACTTTCTCTTTATCTCTGTATTGGTTTAAACATATGCTAATATGCTAATATCGATATATTATTGAATATGTATATTAGCATAATCGATAGAAAAAAATGCTATCGAACATATTCCCACAAGGTTCGAAATTTACTATTGTTAATTAAGTTCAAATAAATTGCAATCATTTGTATAATCTGCTTTTCGTTTAAACACGAATACGTTTTTATATTTAAGTTGCTTAAATATCAATCCAAAATCTTCCAATTACAAATATAAATATTCATATTTACGATATATCTTTCTATAGAAAAATTTAGTGTCACATTGTTGGTTACCAATGAAGTTCGAAATTACTAAACTGATATTTGCTAAACTATAATTTTTTGTAATCCATTGTAATTGTGGTATTATTTTGTGTGTTGTTATAATTTATTAAATAGTCTTGAATTATATTAAATCAACATTTTATTACAAGGCCATAGTAATGTATGGTCGGAGCATCCTGGTATATATATAAATAAATAAATATTATTTACATAGAATTTAATAAATAAATACAAAGTACCAATATTATATACATTCATAGATAATTTTTATCAAAATTGAAAAAAAAATACTCTACTCGTGTTTGTGATACGTGTAATACTTATACGTATTAGATGTCGATTACGTATGCAATACTTTTACATATATGCATATAAAATATAACTAAAAAGGTAAGACTGAAATAGAGATATGAACAAATGAGTAAAAAAAAAAAAAAAAAACAGGAGAGAAAAAGAACATAATCGATATACCTCCAGGCAAATCGATTCGACGACGTGTGAAAAAGTGTATAAGCCGATGACGATCTTGGTTCCGAATGAAGGAGCAAAAAAAGACAGAGAGATAAAAAAAAGAAAGAAAAAAAGAAACAACATGTACTCATCCATGACGTAATCTCGATGTGATGTCAAGGTAACACCCGTTGCAACCAAAGTCCCCTGTGGTTTGCGTTAACAAACCCGTGAAATATTATCGTTCGACTGTACTTGAAGGTTCCGTGATTGCGATTTACTATTGCATAAGATTTCATTTATTTTCTTTTTTTCTTTTTTTGCTTCTTCTTTTAATAATTTTTCTTTCATTTAATCAGCCAAGGCTAAAAGAGGATTTATGATCGATTTTATTAACTTACTTTGCATACACACACACGCACACGTACGTTGACGTTTAAACTCGACACGCGCGTGGTTCTCCGTTTTTCTTTTTCTTTATAAAGAAAATAAAACAAAATAAAACAGAAAAAAAGTGGAATGTAAAAGACGACGAAAAAGGAGATAAACGTGGGTGGACGGTGATCGATCATGTTTCGATATTCGATTTTTCTTCTCTACGACTATTTTAATCGTTATACGTTCCTGTTTTGATGTTCGGTGTCATTTAAATCGAAAAAAACTGAGATAAGATTTCTTTGCTTTATTTTTTTTTTTTTCTAATTATAAAAAAAGAAAAAATACATTGAAAAATATTTTTAATTATAAATGAAATTGCGATTTGATTAAATTCCAGGATTTGTGTGCTATTTCTGGTTTCCATGTCATTTCTAACATATATTTGTTTATTCTCTTTTCTTTTCTTTTTTATTTATTCTTCTATTTTTTTCTTTCTTTTCCGAGTGTCATATGAACGTAAAAATAAAAAGAAATGTTACTATATCTGTTCTAACTTTTTAAATATTTCAAATGAATCTGACAAACTCTCTGACACGCTCCAATTCGATTGAATTTTATAATGTTCCGTGTTATACTAATTTTTCTACGTTCATTTCGACATGCAACATTTCATTTTAATTGAAAGACAGAAAGTACACGAATGAGAGACAGCAATTAGATTCAATTCAATTTTTTTATTTATTTTTAAAATTATTCATTATTTTTAATATGTTCTCGAAATTGCCGAAATAAAATGAAATAAAAAAAAGGTATTTTAAACAGATTTCGAAGATTTATTGGGATAAACATGAGCAAGAGAAAAATAAAATACCAATATATTATATCTTGGTAATAATTATCGATCGAGAGAGTGGTTTTTCGTTAAAATTCATAGAGCTACACCAACGTCATGTTTTACATCAATTTTCTTAGCTTCTTCCTCTTCTTCTTCTTCTTCTTCTTCTTCTTCTTCTTCTTCTTCTTCTTCTTTTCTTTTTATCCTTATTTTTTTTTTTTTATTATCATAATCCCGAACGGTTCCATAGTCAATCGTTTTTCATACTTTATCTAATGTATTCTTTCTAATGAAAGTACTTTGTTTTTTTTTTTTACTCAACTTTTCGACATTAGCATGAAACATAATGGTAGGTTAACGAGAATGACAGAGTGAGTGAATAAAAAAAAAACAGGGGATGGGGAGGGGGTAAAGGGTTGAGAAGTGAAGGGTATTCAAATGTGGTCCAGTGAGAGAAGGTAGCTAGTAAGGTCATTGAGGTTGCACTGCGATCAATCAAGTGTCACGTTGCAACGTCATCCAGAATTACCTGTCATGAATCGTGTTAAGCCTGCAACCCCTATGAGACTACCGTTCGAACTACATATATACACATAAACTACATAGGATATACATACGCATACATAGGACACATATAGAAACATGTATACTAAATTACATACACTATCAGCTAAAAGTTTGCTACCACTTGTCCGATTTCTATATAAAAAAAAAAAAAGAAGAAAAAATCGAGTAAACCGATCAATTTTGAAACGATTTATCATATTGTTACATCAAATATTAATATATTACTTACCGGTAAACGATTATTAGATTTTATCCTATCGTTTATCGATCAGTAGCTTAAAAATAATCTTCCCGTTGATTTCAGTTATCGATTGATCGAAACAAAATCGGCTAAAACTTAAATATTAACATTGTTCAAGTTCAACGTTGAATATTTGATTTCTTATTAATATCCCATTTATGTGAATTTGCGTAGAATTATTCCAAACTTTTAGTTGATAGTGTATTTAAACACACCTATGGGCAAATACATATCTGAAAATATGAATATTGTATTACTTGTACATATATGTGTGTGGGTATACACGATCGTACGTTTTCGATACGTCAATCACGACGAGTTTAACGCATTAAACAACAAATACGATATTTTACGATTACGAAAAATGATATATTTAAAAAAAAAATCATGATATATATGTGTAATATAATCTTTGATTAAAAAATGATCAGATTTTTCCTTTTTAAAGAATTTGTCGAAATCATTTATTATAATTATAATAATAATAATTATTATTATCGCTAATAAGTTACCTCATTCTCAACCAACTCGAGAAAAGTTTTCAACGAATCAGAACGAGATAATCTTATTGCCGATTCAATGAACTGTGTAATCAAATTTCCCGATCGTTATTTTCAGGGACGCATTAATACTTTCGTAGATCCCCCTACGAAGAGCAACTTTGCTTTAGTATCATTTTTTTTAGTAAAAATCATTTCTATTACGCGAGAATGTGAGAACGTTATTTATGTAGATTTTTTTTCCAAAGTTAAATATTCCATGATACTTTTTTATTTTCTTCTCTTTTTTTTTTCACTGTGTCACTGTTTGCATGATTTTAAAATGCGATACATTAAAAAGTGTCAATATCGGCATTAAAAATACTTTCGTTCTTGTTTTTCGCGTAAATGCATATACACAAAGTATAGATAGAAGTTATTTGAACGTATATATGGACATTTGCTTAACCCGCATTTGTACAAACTTTTTTTTTTATATATAGGGGATGAAAAAGAAAAAAATTACAAATAAAAGAAAAAAGAACATAAAAATAAATAAATATAAATTAAAAGAAGAAAAAGTGAAGGGGGTGAAAAAATTGGTCGATTTTCGCGATAGATCGAAAGGCAGGCAGCGTTAATTCAGATGGATTTTCAAATTTGTTCATGCGAAACACTCGTTTATAAAACGTATGTATATATGTATGTGTAACTACGAAAGTTTATATATATATATTTATCGTTTGGAGGAATCGAGTGGGCAGAATCGAGGGAAGCTTCACGCTCGGTACACTTTATCGTGGATACGTTCGATATTCAACGTTACATAGGACTATACTGAAGATTTCCTTATGCAAAGTGGACGTGTCTCTAGTGCAAACGATCGAGAATCGAGAAATAACACAAATAAAAATATACAAATCAAACAACAACAAAATAGTGCAAACTATCGAGAACCAAGAAATAACAACAAATAAAAATACACAAATCAAACAACAAGAATAAAAAAAGAGAAGAGTTTCCACATATAAAATTGTAATATCGTGTTCGACCGTAAAAATGTGAATCAAGAAAATAAAAAAAAAAGAAGAAAAAGGGGTATAACGAATGAAAAAAAAAAAAAAAAAACTGTGTACATCCCTTTTTAACGTTTATTCATTCGATTAGTTTTGTACCCTGTTACAAATATTTCTCTCGTTATTTTCTATATTTTACTATCTCTGTATTTTTTATTTAACACATGTAAATGTATATTCGAAGTTAATCCTTTCGGGTTCCACACACTTGTCATTTTATATTATCGATCTATTATTCATACACCGCGTATTATATATATATATATATAAATTATATATAAATTATATATAAATAATATAATAATAATTTAATAAAATATATTATTTTAATATAATTATATATGTATATAATTTATTTTTATATTTATTCTTTTTATTATTATTTATATATATATCAACTATTAAGGTATCGAAAAGTATATAATCAAAATTGTATTTATTACATTTATTTATTAAAGAAATCTTTTTGCGACCAAAAAAAAAATGGTCATTAAATGAACAAATAAATACAAAATAAAATACCATATTTTATAATAGAATAATATTTTATATTATATTTATTATTCTATTTATATAATTTATTTTGATATTTATTCTCAATAGCTGAAGCGTTATTTTTAAGGGCCTCTTATTCGAAACATACAACGATAAAACTTCTTTGTCCCCAATTCTTTGATTTTCTCTCTCACTCTTTCTCCCATTCTTTCTTCTTTGCTTCTTCCGGACTGTTTTCATCCCCCTCATATTCCTTCATTTCTCAATTCTATCTTCTTCTTCTTCTTCAATGGCTGTAGTAGTAGTAGTAGTAGTAGTAGTAGTAGTAGTAGAGTCTCTTTTAAATTCGTCGACCTAACGCTTCACAATGCATAACGATGCATTTCTGCCACTTTTTAAGCCTTTTATCGAGTGCCGATCGACCACGGTGAGAAGAAAACTCACAGAAAAAAAAAAAGAAAAAAAGAAAGAGAGATAGACATTGAAATATTGGGTTGTTCGGAAAATTCGTGCCGATTTTGACAAAAAATTGAAATGCTGCAACGAATTTTAGTCTTTCTTTTTTTTGTATATATTTAATTATATGAATCGCCTATTTTGAAAGTGGCCTACCTCCATTTATGTTCGAATCGAGATATTATGCACATTTTGTTCCATAACCTTTCTCCATTTTTAGAAAGAAAACCTGAGGCCACCCTGTTGCAATCTTTAAGGGTAACTTCAAAAATTTACTCCTTCCAGAAATTTTCAGGTTTTTTTAAGCAAAATAACTTTACGCCACCTACCGAAAAATCGGCACGAATTTACCGGATAATCCAATGGATAGAGAAAATATGAGAAAATGTAAGAATAAAAGATAGATATGGAAAAATAGAAAAAGTGAGAGAGAGAGAGAGAGAGAGAGATATAGAGATAGAGATAGATAGATAGATAAAATATGCACCACGTTCGTAGTCTTTTTTATTGTTATATATGAAAAATCGTGTTCTTGCTTTCAAGAGTGAAAAATATGATCGTAATTGTTCGTACGCGAAAAAAGTGCACATGCATGCACATGCATGCATGCATTATGGACCTTTCCTACCTTCAGAAACCCTATTCTTCTCGTTTTCTCTAGCTTCGCTTTTCTAAGCTTTCTAAGCGTCGAAGAAAGAACATCGAACACGCACGTCTCGGGTACACACACTCTTTTTCTATTTTTCTCTCTTTCTCTTTCTCTTTCTCTTTCTCTCTTTCCTCTTTTTCTTCTCTATTTCTCTGTCTTTTGGCACGCGTCTTTATTTAAAACGATCGAAGCCCTCGAGGAATTCCCTTTCCATCTCTCTCTCTCTCTCTCTCTCTCTCTCTCTTTGTTTCTAACTTGCTCGAATTCTTTGTTAAATAAGGAATACGATTAACAGACTTTTAATTTGTTCATTTTTTTATTTATGGTTTAAAAAAAATATTATTGTCGATTGTTTTCCCCCCCTTTTCATGGGTTTTTCTTTCTTTCTAATTTTTTATTATTCCTTTTTTATATTATACCAATTATTATACCTTTAATTTTCGTGTAATAATTATAATTATTATATATACATTATATTATATTATATATTAATATTTGTAAAAAGAAACAAATTTCTCTAATAAAAAATTAATGAGTACTACAAAGAAGAAGTGAAGGACATCGATAAAAAAGAAAATAGGGAAAAAATATATCGAGATAATTAACGATGATAATATATATATCGATATATAGATCGAAAAATAATAACAAGAGAACCGTACCTCCTTTTCTTGGTCTCGTTCGAAACTTTTCGATATCTATCACAGGAACTTTTCTCTTAAGAAAATCACCCTCTCCTCTCTCCTTGTCCTCTTCTTCTCGTTTTTAACTTTCCCATCTTTTTTCTCCTATTTTTTTTGTTTTTTTTTTTTTGTTTTCTTTTTCTATTCTTTTCTAACTCTTCGGATCGAATTCTTCGTTTTAACACAAATCTTTAAAACGCACACGACGAGGTCACTAGTCGAACGTACATATTTTTATTTTCGCCTACGAAATTGTATCGAGATATATTTTCTTCTTTTCTATTTTTTTTTTCTTTTTCTTTTTCTCTTTAACTTTCTTTTTTTATCCTTCTTTCTCTCATTGAACGTCGTCCTCGCACGTAACGATCGTAACGTATTCGCATAGTCGTCGATAATTTCGAGGACAACGTTCGATTGCAAATTTTGATACAACCAACATCCTGTTTTCAATATTATTATTATTATTCAATTCTTTTGTTTTATGTATGTATATATACATATGTATTTTTATACATTTAAGTCTAATATAACACGATTTTTATTTGGAATGAATGAGTTATTTGCTGAATAATCTCAATTTGGGATTCATAATGTTATAAATAAAAAGAAAAATATAAAACGTACGAGAGTTAATATAATTGCAATCAATTCTTGTATTTCAAGAATTTTATTAATTTAATTTTTATACATTTAAGGGGTTTGCTATAAAAAAATACTTGAAAAAAATGTTAATTGACATAAATACAATTTATTTCTAACGGGGATTTAATATAGGAGATAATAAGATTGAAAAGAATTCTTCTAAAATACAAATGATAATAATTTAATTTTCATAATTTTTGGTAATTGACAACTTTTCAGTAATAGAATTTCTATATAAGAACAATTAACAAAATTGAAGATAATAATCTTAATAAAACATTAACTTCATTCACTTAATTTCTACCAACTTAAGATTGCAATATAACACGCTGCAAAAATGTTAATCCTTTGACAATATATTATTCTTCTAACACGATTCACCTAATTTCTATAAATTAAAACATCCAATGCAACTCTATTGAAGAAATTTCAACAACCCTTTAAACAATAACCACAATTCCAAACAACCTAAATACAATTCATCTAATTTCTATATATTGAAACATCCAATGTAACACTCTCCAACAAAAATTTCAACAACTCTTTAAACAATAATCACAATCCCAAACAACCTAAATACAATTCATCTAATTTCTACAAATTAACAATTTTCTATATATATAACACTTTTTAAGAAAAAATTTATTTAACAAAAAACCTCATTAACTAATATCTTAGAAAACAACACTGACCAAAACGAAATCGTGTTATAGAACAGACTCCAATGTATAGCAAAATATATAAACAAAAATACATACGTTAATATACGTTAATTGATAAAAACAAATGTTAATACGTTGTCTTCTTCTGTTTTCTTTTTTTGTAAAATCTTTTTTTGATGACAAAACGAATTGAAAAGTACTACACGGCTCGCGGTTCGCGAGGAACTGACGAGGAGGAAGGAAGGCAGCTAGCGCGGCAAACTCTCCCTCCTCGTACCGTTCGTTCCTCACACTGACTGAGTGAGCAAAGAGAGGGAGGCTTTCGAACCGAGGCCGAGGACGAGTGGTACAACCCCTACTCTTCTTCCCTATTCCTATTCCTCTTCTTCTTCTTCTACCTTCTTCTTCTTCTTCTTCTTCTTCTTCTTCCTCCCTTTTCATCGACAAAACACACACACACACACACACATACAAACGACTCGCACACAAGAAAGCAATTTCCTCCTCTCTCACCCTTTCGTCCTGTTGGCTATTCCTTTCTTTTTTCGTTCTTTTTTTCTATTTTTATTTTTTAACTTAACTTGTTTTTCCCCCTCTTTTTTCTACACCTTCTTTTTCTTCTTTTATTTTTTCTTTTTCTTTTTCTTTTTCTTGGGGCACCTGTGGGCTATCCACTTTTTCTCTGTGGTGATGATCCAGACGTTTGGACTCTTCCTTTCTAGCTCGTAGTATTTTTTAATTAACGATTTCCGATTCGAATATTACACCCCTTTTTATTTTTTTTTTGTTTTTGTTTTAATTCGTTTCTTTTTTTTTTTCTTTTCGATATTCATCTCTATACGCGAATGAGAAATAAATTAATTCTTCACTAGCGACCATCCGAATTGTTCTCCTATTTGAATTTTTCTTTTTTTTTTCTGCGAATAATCAAAATTGTCGAATAATTAACCCTCTTTGTGTTAGAATTACTTTTTATAGATTCTTCTTGATCAAATTATCATTCTATTTTTATAATTTTTAATAATAATTATTATAATAATTTAAATAATATTTAAATAAATTATAATATATTTTATAATTTTAATTTTATAATTTATTATTTTAAATAAATTTATTTCATCAACCGATGACCCAAAATTACGTATATTTGATATATTTTTGGATAGAAACATTTCAAAGAAATATAGCTACGTATATTTTGATTTTTAATTAATCAAGTTCGATTGGAATTCTTTATCTTTCTTTTTTTTTTTTTTTTCTATATGCAAAAGCTTACGAGACGAGTCGATCTTTCGGTTTATATTTCAAATAAATTGATTTGGTCTACTATCGAAACCTGAATTCCGTGTAAGGGATGCTTGTTAATATTTTTCTCGAATCAAAATATTTCAAATATTTGTTTCACAATTTTTAATGAATAAAGCAAATTTTTTTATTCCAGATTTGGAGAAGTTTTAACAAACGAAAAATAAAAAAAATAATTAAATAAAAATATTTATTTCTTTCGCTTTTTTTCCCTATATATTTATTTTATTTGTAATATCAAATATTTATACGTTTAGACGATTTTTAAATTGTATCCATGTGACGATAGTAGTAGTAGTATTTTCATTAATGTTACTTACACTAGTATTCGAGTGTCCGACAATATTTCGATGAAAATTTTCAATATCGAGAAGCTTACGTGAAAATCGATGTGTTACACATACACACGTAGTATTTGAAATATATATTAATTTTCTCTAGCGTCGATTAAATTTCATACACATTAATACATACACATTTTATTTGTTGTGCAATAATAAGTAAATAAAAAAAAATAAAATACAGAAAATAATTGTGTCTTGAAACGTTTATTCGATCTCTCTCATGCATTTTCTATATATACATGTATTTATTTTTCCATCTAAAATATATCGATGATCTAAACACTTGTAAGAATAAATAAAATCAACAAATTAACAAGATTCATTTTTTATATTTATCTGTTTATTTATTTATTTTTTTTTTTTTTCAAACAAATATCGATCGTTTTGAAGTAGGGAAAATGTTGAACGAATTCTTACACGAAAATCTCACTAATTAAATTAACGAGAAAATATGTAATTCGAGTTGTTATTGGGGGTGGGTGGGGAGTTGAGGAAGAGATTTCATTGAACGGTTTCTACCTTACCCCTTTTACACGCGTAGTAGTACAATTTGGCACAGTTTCGAGAACGCGTAACGATCGCGTCCCGAATCAAAAGCGCAAGTATTCTGAACTGTTCCTTTGTCTTCTCCATTGTAACCCAGAAACAAGTTACGTATCATTATATCTTTTCCTCTTCGAAAATTCTATGTACTTATAGTATACATATAGAAATTTATGTATTATATATAACCAAGTTGCTTTGCTTTATTATATTACGTTGTCACATTTTTACTTAAACTTGCGTTATACCTTGTATTTTCTTATTTTTTTTTTTTTTTTTTACTATGAACATGAAATTACTTTTTTAACAACTAAATAAACAACAATAAATTAATATTTTAGGTACATTATACGAAGGTCTTAACAATAATAAAATATAAGAATTTTTTTCAAGACAAAATTTCTTCGTATTTTAAAACTGCAATAATATAACACTTTTTATATATTTTAAGAAAAAATAATTGTTTCAAAGGTACGTTATTGAATTACATGAAAAAATTATAACATTTATCGATTTTTATGCTTAACGTTAAGCTTCAAAGTAAACTTTAGTTGTTTTTAAATAAGATTCTAAATTTATTATACAATCGGCAATAAATTTAACGTAAAAGAAAATAGTATTATAACTTTAGTTGGGATATTTTCTGTTCACCTAGAAGTTAAAAAATAAAAGAACTAGGTTAGATAGGGGTTGAAATTTAATTTCATAAATTATGGAAGATAAAAAAAGGGTAATACGTTTCAAATTTCTTCGTCCGATTTAAAAGAAAATTTATTCATTCGAGTATATTACTTTTAATATTATCCAACATATATACGAATATTACTTTATATCTTTCTTGTTTTTTTGATTTTTTTTTTGATTTTTTTAATCTTGAAAAGACATTTCGAATACGAACAAAACTGAACAAAAATAAGGAAAAATTGAAAAAGTTTGATGGAGAATGTGCGAGAGAAAGAAGGAAAAGGAGAAAGAGAGATAGAAAAAAAAAGAGAAAAATAAAAAGAAAAAGAAAAAGAAAAAGAAAAAGAAAAAGGAAAAGAGTGACCAGATTGTTTGTTCGTTGAAAGATATGACGGACGTTAAGCTTTTTATCCGCTTTTCCTACTGGCAAATATCGTAACGGAGCCATAGGATACTTTAAACTGGACGTACGTATACACTATATGTGCATATACATATATATATATATATATATTGAAAACCACGGATAAAGTAACAACCATATCTATATATATATATATATAGATATGTATATAAACGTGCTATCGCGTATGGATATTGGATATCAACCATATCGTAGTTTCCTCCGACGATAGCGTTTGAATTTTCCCGCGAAAATTCCGATGATCGATCAAACGAATACAAAAATATATAAAAATAAATATAGAATGGTAAAATGTTAAAGAAAAGAAAAGTATTAAAAAATAGACAAAAAATTCAATGGTAAAATAAATCGAAAAAGCTTACAATTTATTGTTAAAAATACAAAATTAAAGAAGTAAAGAGATATTAATTTAATTAGAGAACACTAAGATATTAATTTACATAATTATTATTATATTAATATTATTACCAATAATAATTTTTAAATATTTATTAAGAAAAAGCAGTAAGATATTAATTATGAATTGTAACGAAAAACTTGGTAGTTGATAAATAAAATAATAAAAGTTACAAAAAAAGAAAACATTTATAACGAGTTGTTCTTTCTGACTTCTTCAAGTCTCAGGAGTAAAATCATTAATCAAAAGAAAAAAGAAAAAGACGTGCGTGTGGTACACGAAGATTTAATCTATTACAAGTGTCTTGGCAATTAATTACAACTAATTAATGAACGTAACGAGTATTATTTTACAGACAAGATACAACAGTTACATTATAAATGTTTTTATTTCACTTGTATCGATTTTAAAATCTACCTTTTAGGATTAGTCAAAGATTATCGTGATTTTAGTTTAGCTTTTATGATTTAACCACAAGTACCTTTAGATAGTATCGGTAATTCTTTTAACATTTTCTGTTTTTTTTCTTGTTTTGCTGCTAGTGCGACGGATATCCGGAGACGGATTATTCGACGAGGAGAACCTATCGGCATACTGAATAAGAAGAGAGAAGGGGGCGGGGACGGGGACGGGGAGAGACATATACTCTTCCTCCCTCACCTTTTCCCCTTCTTCTTCCTACTCACTTTCCTATTCTCTTATAAATATATTACTGTGTGTAGATATATGTGTAGTAGCAGTTACGATAGTAGTAATAATAGAGTGTGTGTATGTGCGTACGTGTGTGTGTGTGTAAAATTTCACTCACCCATCGATCTTCCAAAACGAGCTTCCAAAGGACGAAGAACAAGTGTCCCTTTCACGTGAACGTGACTCACGTCCTAGAAAGGTTTCTTCCTTCCCTTCAATTTCTTATTCCAACGTTTCACTGATTTTACTAGCAGTTTCTTTTAATCAAGGATAAATGAATGAGAGGAGAGATAGAAAATGGAGATAGGTAAGAAAAAAGAGAGAGAGAGAGAGAGAGAGAGAAAGAGAGAAAGAGAGATAACTCGTATGATTTCATTCGTTCTAATCAAATAATTGCAATCATATTTTGTTTTTTAAATTATTGTGTAAGTTTGATTATTAAATTTTTTTATATATATGATTTAAAATAGGTTGATTTTTTATGATTCGATTTGATCTGTAATTATTATGACTAAGTATAAATTGTGATTACGATTGAAGTAGTATTATATGTATGTATAAATTATTTGAAATAGGTTATATATCAGAAATATCTTGTAAATGATGAATCAAATTTCACTGACAACATTTCTATTTGATTTTTGATTAGATTTTGAATCAATATGATTCTATATGAATAAGAATTATACAAATACGATCTTAAATAAATGATTAAAAATATTTTCGAAATTTTATCAAAGTAGATATATTTATTCACCAATATTATTTGATTTAAAATTATTTTTGATTATATTAATGAAATCATACGAATACCATAAATGATGATTAAATAATGTAATAAATAAATGACAATATAATATACACAAAGAATTGTAATAAATTATAGAAACATTTGACAAAATATAAAAGCAAAGATCACTCTCGAATTAAGTTTAAAGTAGGATTTGAATTACGGCTTAATGAATTTTTGATATTTAATTAACACGCACACGATGTTTAATTAGCACAATGTTAAAACGTTAAGCAGCAC